GCCCACGATAAGTACACTGAAGTACCTCTAGAACTGCTTCTTTCTCAACACTGACTAAAGGGAGGAAATGGGATCGCTATGCCTGATGTAAACAACTAACCTTTACACAGCCAAGTAAAGCAAAATTAGTCTTTGATATGCACTACAATGGACAAGGACACCTTATAGATTTTTACAAAACTTCCATACAGTATTTGGTGGTCCTGCAATTGACTTCATGGGGCAGATTAAAATACTCAGAATGAAAATCAGCACTTGTGCTGAAGCTCACAACCTGATGATCAACAATGTCATCAACTATGGTGACAGTAGTAGACAATGAGCTTGGCTTATACCAGTTTTTCCAAAATTTCAAAGAACTCCTCATTACTGCTAATATATTGTCTTCACTGCTTAAGAAGTTGATCAGTTTTATTCCACAAAGTTGGTTTGAAAGTTAGTTGGACTATTTAATCAATTTCTTAGAAAGGAAATTTGATTTTTCTCTGATAGGTAGCAGTATTACATTCACAGTGTCCTTTATGTTTCTTTTATTGAAATTTCTATTTATGGACAGTATATTATCACAGCTTTTTCTAGCTTATCTAAGAAGCCAGGCTTTCACACCACGAGTAAACTCGCAAACACACTCATACACACTGGAGAGAAGTCTAGAGGACAGACATCCTTAAAGTCATCATGTTTAGTAGCAGAGGAAATGCTTTTAAAAGCTCCTCATTTATCAGGAAATATTGTATCAATAATGTTAATAAAGTTATTAAAAACCTAGTATATTGAGTTAACATTGCAACGGCCATCTGCTTCAGTCATGCCAGGCCAAGAGCACAAGTTCTGTGAGCAGCATCCCACTTACCAACTAATTCTCTTAAACTATTCATGCCCCTTACAGGTACAGAAGAGAGCAGAAGGAAACCCATATTAATATCCTGCATCAGAATCCTAGGTAATCTAATTAGTCTGGTCACAGGTCTTATCTTTTCACTGCTGAATGAACACAGTTCTTAGATTCATTTTCCAGAGAAGAGATCTGTGAGGGTAATTCCAGTATTCCCTTCCAGTGCGAACCTTACTGCTTCAGGAAGGTCTGTGCTCACCAGCTTCTTCATGACAATACGGTAGTGAAGGAGTCACGGCTCTGCCAAATCAAACTTTGTCAAGCTCATTGAGCTCAGCTTAATATGCTTGACTGAAGGTGCCAAGATTTTCTGACAATGTCTTTGGTCCTGGGTTTTTGCAGTAAAGGCAAAGAACCACTAATCCACGTGTGACAATGAACAGCAAAACCAAGCTGCTCATGAGTGACCCTGTGGACATGAGTGGAGGCATAATTTTTGTGATCTCCTCCCATCTTACTGCCAGTGGAAACCTGCTCTCTGCCATCGCCATGTGTTGCCAGTGTTTGGATTTCGTTATCTGCTGATTATATTAGCTACTTTGAGTTTACCTTTGGTGTGGCTGTGCTGCTTGTGGCAAGTATTTTTGACCTCTAGAATCATCAGTATAGAGAATAAAAGCATGGTAAGCTCTAGTGTACCAGTGCATATCTTTTTTTTCCCTTTTTGTGATCTTTCATTTTGAAATATTACAGCCGGGCTGCAGGTAAATCCTGTGTTCCGGATGGCTGCAGGGCTGAGCCTGGCCCCTAGAGACTTCTGGGACAAGAGGGAACTTCTGCTGCAGCCGAGTGCTATGGGCGGTTCAGTTTCACTTTGGAAAGTGCAGGGGCAGGATAAACTCTGCCTTTCTTTACGGGTAAATCTTCAAGCTAGTCCTGCAGTTCTTACTACCAGTTTAACTTACTGTGGATTTGTTTTTTACCTCACAATAATGTAAGTTTGCCTACAATCAACAGAGAACTTGGAGGCTGTTACCTTTGATTTGTTCCTCATGCACATTGTGCTGAAGAAGATTAACAGATGAATTTTCTAGTATATTGCTTCTAGCTGCAGGTGCTTCTGTGCTTCTCTGAGCACCAGTCCTTTCAGTTAAAATTGTTTGAAAAGGTGTGGCTTTTGCTATGATTAAGTCCTGAACAGCAGTTCTAGCCTGTATTACTGTGACTTAACATTTTTCCTCTGTGGCACGTGAAAGGTGGCAGTTCAGATTTTTGCTCGTCAGTCCCCCGAGCAAAGGGGAAAGTTGAGAGCCTGGTGTCCAACAGTCTCTCAGTCAGTCAGTGTCAGTCAGTCTGTCAGTGCCTCGTAAGGAGACCCTTCACCAACAGATTCACGAGATCAGAGGGTCCCTCAACCTCCCTTGTTAGCAGGAACTCAGCAGAGCCAGGACCCCTCAGCGGGTCTTGCCAAGGTGTTGTCCACCGATGGCAACTGCAAGGACTCACTTTAACAGTTTATGGAATAACACTTTTTATTAATACAAATTGTGACAGATTAATAGGGTTTGAAGGTTGTTGGTGATGGGGTCTACTGCAAAAATATGTTTTAAAGCAATCTACTGATATATGTATCAAGCAAGCACAAGCTCTGATATGAAGCAATCTAATTAATATGCTATGGGGTAAGCACAAGCAAAAGCTCTAGTCCTAAAAGCAGCATTTAACACACATAAAGCACATTTCTCACCCAAGGTGTCCCTCTGAGGGGGGAGATGATGGACTCAGCCCGTTGACTGATCCCAGCAGTTTTGGTGGAGGTCTTCTACCACTTTTCCCCTATTCCCAACTTACTTTTATACTATTTTACTTATTTTTGGGTGGAATTTGAGTGGCTTTAGTAATAAATACTTTTTATTTCTGATTGGTGTACCTGATGGGTGGAGGGTGGTGGTAGTGGTTTGGCATTTGAGGAGGGCCTCTGACATGGTTGTTGGCTTCAGCAGCAGAACATCTTGATTCTCCCTTATCAGACAGGTACTGTACAGTCTTAGTACCACAATGTTCTCCCATTCTGCTGGGATGAGAATGGAGGCGGGCCACATAGTCTCCACTTCGTTCCACACTCCATTCTGTTTCCCTGAGCAGATGTTTATCGTTGAACTGGGGAACATGTTGACCTCCATCCATTCAGGGTGTTGCAGCTGCTTTTTACCTTAAAATTCTGAATCCACTCTAGGTTTAACTCTATCCATCAGCCCACACTCTGCATCCCCTGTATATTGTCCAGAAAACTCTTTAAACCAGTCTGGGGTCACTGAGTTCCTCCAGACTCTCCAAGTCTGTCCAGAGCTTGAGCTGTGTCAAGGTGACTTTCTTCCAGTTTGGGAAATTTTACAGAGCTCTCTCCCCATATATCTTTAAGGCATGATCTAGTAGCAGTAACAGCTCGATTCAATCATTAACATGAAATTGCAAAAAAGACAAGCAAACTCATGCAGCTGACCAGAAACAGTTTGGCAGACGGTGGGAAAGGAACAGCTGTGTCATCGTATTTTAAGCAAGAGCCTGAGACAGAGGAAACCTGAGTCCAGGGGCAGGGGAGCAGCTCCTGGGAGTCATTGCTGTTGATTCAGGTTGGTTCTGGACCCCACTGCACCTGAGGTAAGCTATTCCTAGACTTACTCAATATATGCAGTCGGTTTTTCTGAGAAAAGGGATTTTGAATAATATTTGACAGAATTCCTTTCCTCAATGTTTCTAGTAATGCAAACTGTGAACTAGCAAGTCTGTCTCTCAGGGAAGTCTCAGGAAGTGTGAACTGTACAAGACCTCAGGTAAAGTCTTGTTTTAAGCCAAAATCTTGTTTTGGCTCAAGTAAAAGGACCTTTAACTGAAGTGTTAAAATGAAACCAAAAAATCTTTTGATCGTGCCCTGCAGTAAACTGTAGGTTAGATTCTTGTGGATCTGATTCCAGTTCACCGACTTTTATGGGACTCTCAACCCAGAAAGAAGAGAGGAAGATAGATGTTTACTTTTCAGGTACAAGCTCCTCAGAGTGGACCAGCTCAGTGGGCAGCAGAGGTTATCTCTAAAAAGCCAGTAGCACTCCCTCATAGCAGGAAAAGAATATTTTTCTGCATTATTTCTGTGAAATTGCCCTCTCCCTTTCTTAGAGTAGGTGGCGGATGGGAGGGTGTTTCCATACTGCATCCTGCCCTCTCAGTATTACTGGCTGCTGTCATACATGCTCTCAGATAGATGTTGTGGATAGAGTCGTGCAGAATTTCTTTCTTTCTCCTTTGTCTGCTTCTCTTATCCTCTGCATTTCTACAGGCGATGTAATGGTAGGGGCAGGACAGAGAGGGCCTGACTCAGATGATGTGAGGCAAATGTATGTGTCTATATACTCCTCATCTGGCCTATACTGAGGGGGTTTTTAATTAATGGAAGGGAAAAGTATCCTTTTTCATTTTGCTTTTCATTGACTTCACTGATTTATATTACATTCAACCAACACACTTACACTGATCTGTCCAGAGATGTCATACCTTCAAACCAGAAAGATCTGTCAGCATCTTGTTGAATTCCAGCTTTCCAAAAAATGGCAGACTTAGTGAGGGCTTAAAAATATCTTATATTCCTTTGAAGAGGATGGAGAAAATGCAAACTGAAGAGAACAGTCGAACAGTCACTACTTAAAGAACTCACTGTTACCTATCTATAAAAGTCTCAAAATAACTCAGCCTGGATTATAGTTAGGGGCAGAGCTTGGTAGCTCTCAATTTTTATCTGTCTCCTTATTTTTCAGAACCCCAATGCTGACATAGCCTCTAGTTTATACATTGATAAATAGGGTGGCTTTGGTGGGGAAAAAATTACTTCCAATATTTTGCTGGGATTTAATAATTCTATGGAATCAGATAGGATGATCAAATATTGGGTTTGCTTTCTGGGGAAACGAGGGAGGCCCAGTAACCTACCATTGCCCATTCATAATAAATGCCCTCCTAATTTCTGTTTCTCATATAAGTTTTCTTCTTTGTGCTATGTGTAATAAAATTACAATTGTTTAATCAGTAACTAATAATTCCAGCAGCAGCTGAACAGTGTCTCATGTGTTCCCAGCTGTAAGTGATCTATAATCTGTCTTTTGCTTTTTTGTAGGTACTGATATATTCCATATTCCTGAATCTTCCAGTAGCAAATGAAAAATATGTATCTCTTCCTTCTTTCCATTTTGTCTTTGCTTTTGAAAGTCAGTGGCACCAAAGACATTGTATTTGGTCATAATAATTTCACAGAATATCAAGTGGGCAACATGAATCTGATTCTCTCTGTCCCACATGGTGGGTCAATGGAACCTAAAGACATCCCTGATCGAGAGGCTGCCTGTTGGGATGCGAAGACATCCTCCTGTATTTTCTCTCATGACTGTCCTCCTGGAAGTGTTCAAAATGATAAGAAATGCAAAGTGTCTACCAACCAAGACAGGTATACTATAGAGGTGGCTCAGACTCTTGCTGAAGAAATCAGCGGTATTACTGATGGCTTCTTCCCACATATCATTATAAACCACCTACAGAGGTTCAAGATGGATGCTAACAGGGAAAAAGAAGAAGCCTCGTTTGGTATTCCCCAAGCAGAACAGGCCTGGGAGGACTACATGGGATTTTTGACCACTGCAAAATCACAGATGTCAGGGGGCCTGATTCTGGATATCCATGGACAAGCACATCCTGAGAGGTGGATAGAACTAGGTTACACACTTTCAAAATCTTCCCTTAACTCAGGTGTTTTTTCTGCATCGTGTTCCTCAATTAGCCATCTGGCCAATCAGCTGGTCAGTGTGTCTTCTGAGACCTTGGTTTCGGGGAACAGAAGTTTGGGTAAATATATTGAAGAACAAAATAACAGTTATGTTTGTGTGCCTTCTCCATCCAATCCTAGCCCAAATAATGGGAGCTATTATAGTGGTGGATACATAACGAAGACTTTTGGTTCCCGTAGTTCTGGCACCATTGATGCCATTCAGCTTGAACTACCCCAGTGGGTGAGGGCAGCTGAAGAACGTCCCAGATTTTGTAAAGCGCTGGCAAGGGCTGTGATGAAATTCTGGCAAACTAACTACTGCAGCCAGTACAAGCACAAATTTCGGCCATGCTGAAAGAGGTTTTCTTGCTAAGGTACCTTTCCTTAATACAGTAATGATCTGGATTAACAGAACAACTCATTCACCTGGAACGTTTAAGCCTGCAATATAATTGTGGATGCCGGTGGAAAGAAACAACCTACAAAGGAATGCAGAGACTTTGACACAGAGAAAATCCACAGCTAATACCAACAAGTCCATTAACACACAGATCCAGCATTGAAAAATCTGCTATAAGTGGGTGTATTTGAAAGTATTTCTGTATTTAATTTCTTTCCATTATCATCCTCTATTCTCTAGCACATAATAAACAACTAATCCTCTAATGAATTCTGTGCAGTGCTTTAGTGGATTATCTGCTGAAAGAAATAAAATGCCTCTGCTTTTCCTTTGACACTTAAGAAAGACAGGTGGATAATATTATTGTGTAAAATATTCGAGGCCAGGACTGGTTTCCATTTGATGTTTTTAAAGCCCTAGGAGTTGGAACTCAAGTAAACAGTAATGCTGAGCAATGACACGCAGTCTGAACTACTCAGGTTTTGTTAGTTTAATGAATTAGGGAAAAAAATCTAAGAACACTTACAGCACTGTAAATTTGTCAGAGTTTAAATAGCATAACAGTAAGGTAGTGACTGGATGGAAGGCTGATAAAGATAGCACATACACATCATGCATTTTGGACAGTTTTCCTTACAGTACGATTCCCTCCTGAGAGCCGGTCCACTGATTTAAATCAGCATAGGATTAAACACTTGGTTGTTACTGGGAATAGTATTACATCATGGATGGGTTTTTCTGCACAGTGGAGAATATAGAGGCATAAATAGCCGTGAGTACAAATCAGCTCCTGGAAACCACAGGCAATTGATAAGGAAAACCAAAGGGAGCAGAAAGCAAGACTGAAAAGACTAATGTTTGAAAATTAAGAATCTATGAAATTGTAGCAGTGCTAAAAGTTTGGTAAAAAGAAAACAAGTAAATAGTTCTGAGAAGTAAATAGTCAGTTAATAAACTGAAGAGAAGTGGGAGATTTGCATCTTGCAACCACAGTAAAATATTTTAGGTCTAACTATTAATTGGGACAATATCAAAGAGAAACTATTTCACAGTGGTAAAACATAACACAAAAGAGCATCAAAAGAAACAGGTAAGGAGATCTCTGAACCTGACCTGTTCATTTTTATTCTTTGAAGACTAGGAAATTTTCAGGTAACTGGAAGAGAGCTGATGCTGCTGTGTTTAAAAGGGAAATAGGATTCAGAATTTCAGGAATGTTACCTTTCATACACTAACTGTTAAATCATGGGTTGGATGAAGGGAACACAAATAGTAAATGGAAGATTACACTTTATCTGGTGTCACTTGGTTTTTCAGACAAGGCTGATTTTAGTTTTAATCACAAGGTTTAATGTGGTGGGCTGACCCTGGCAGACACCAAGTACCTTCCCAGTTGCTTGTGTGCTTCCTTACTTCTTCCAGGAGGACGGGGGGAGAGATTTGGAAAAGCAAAAGCGCAAAAACTCATAGGTCGCAATGAAGGCAGTTTAATAGGTGAAGCAAAGCTGCATGTGCAAGCAAAGCAAAATAAGGAATTCAACCACAACTTCCCATCAGAAGGTATACGTTTAGCCACTTTCTGGGAAGCAGGGCCTTAGCATGCATAATGAATAGTTACTTGTGAAGACAAACACTGTAACTGTGAACATCTTGGTTTCCTCCTCCATTCTCTGAGGTATTATTTGCTAAGCAAGATGTCATATGGTATGGAATAGTTCTAGTCATTTTAGGTCAGCTATCCCAGCTGTGTCCCTTCCCAGCTTCTTGTGCACCCCTGGGCCTACTCGCTGGGTGTGGGAAAAAAGCACCTTGTTGCTGTGCAGGCATTGCTCAGCAATAGCCAAAATACCAGTGTGTTATCAACACTATTTTAGTCACAAACCCAGGATGCAGCACCATACAGGCTGCGATGAAGAAAATTACATTCATTCCAGCCAGATCTAGTACAACTGATCACAATAAGTTCACTTATTATACTCCCACAAGATATTTTGCTAAAGAAAAAATGCAGTTACTCCTAAATCTATCATAGCCCTATAACAAGTTGGAGACAGGTAAAACATTGCAAATCATTGTATATTCAGCTCACGAGAAGAATGTCTTTTCAAGAAAGCCAGCAGATCAAACACCATTCAATGCCAGTGATATAGAAAACCTGCTATTTCCCCCAAAATAGTAGGTAACATTGGCACTATTTGTATGGATTAATTACTCACTGAGGTGACACACTAGGCAAGGAGTGGTAACTTTAGTGAAAGGACAATAGAATATGTATTCTGTGTATGTGTTCATGTCGTGACACTGTCCTGGAATGCTGAAATACCAGGAAGGATTGCGGAATCATGATGGATAATTAATTGAATATGAGCTCAGCAGGCACACTTCTGGCTTAGAGGATGAACATGTTCTTTGAAAGCACAAGCAAGGAACTAACAGGCAGAAACAGCAGGGTATATTAAGTCTTTTTTGAGTATATTGTTCTTGTAACATTATGAGTATAAAATGGATTTCTAAGGCAGAAACTTTTTGGTTTCTTCCACCTTACTCTCTACCGTGTCTGGTTGGGAAGGAGAGTGATAGACTGGCTGAGTAGGCACCTGGCATCCAGCCAAGGTCAACCCACCACAACCCCAAACCATTCTGTGATTCTTTGATTAAGAAGAATAGTCTCTGGAAAGGGTTTCTGATGGCTGATGAAGCTTAATCTGGCAGGAAAAAAAGTCAGTATGATATTCAATGTACAGAAGTTCAAACTGGACAAACTGAAGCAGAGAGGAAACCAGCAGTTTTGACATGGAGAATAACTGGCAGCAAATGTATATTAAGACCCTTAGTATGCTCCCTTCAACTGGAAATCAAAATAGAAATGCAAACAGGCATTTGGCCACAGAAGGTATTCTTGGTTTCTCTGCCTTCTGTCACCCAAAATGAAAATTCACACATCTTTCTGTCAGTGTAAAATCAATTTTATTTATTCCTGATAATTGAAGTTCCTGCAATATCTTCCCTAAGGAAGCAGATATCTTATCTGAGATCTCAAGCAAGAGCATTTTCTTTTATATAATATATACTACACTGGTCCTGATTAAAGTCTTTGTCTCAGGGCCATAATGAATTCTTAGATGTTGAACGGGCTATCCACTGATTTCAATGGGAATGATTTTTACATAAACCCAAGATCCCTTCCCCTTTTGCTATGTGCTTTCCCAAGCAGAATATCAGCTCACTGGGCAGCCCAGGATGAAAGATGCTGTTATATGATTCTATTAATACCAATGCTAGTTAAAGATTCTGACTCTCTGTTTAGATGAAAATAGAGACTAAAGCACAAGAAGAGCAAGCTTTCTGACATTACTGTGCTATGAAAGAAGGGACAAACCTAAGAAAGCAGTAGCTTTCTTAAATGTTATTGAGGATATCGGTTTCCAACATTTGTCAGTTCTCTTCTTGTGCTTTTGAAAGGCACAGTTTTAGATAAAGGATTCAGGGTCAAATCATAAAAATTGGGAAGACATTAAGTAGGTTTTAGCACGTTTAATTAATGCAAAATCCACCAGAATGACGTTATTACTAGTCTCTCATTGAGTAAATACCCACTGGCAAGTGCTGAAAAGGAGTATGTTTTCTGATCATCTCAAAATATACTGAGCAACTTTTAGAAATTTTTAAATTTCTTACAACAGTTAGGTGTAAGCAGTTCATATTGAATTGCAATAATGATAAAATAATGCTAATAAACTTTCACCCTTGTTACACCCTTAATACACAGACCTTCCTTTAAACATATCTATCATGCCCTAGGCTTGGTATGTATTATATAATAATAAAATAGTGACAATAATTGGGGTCAATTGAGTTGATTTATAATGTTTTTTACTATTTTAAGGTTGCTAAGATTTAAATTAGCAAGGAGGGATCAGGATTTCACCCATAAACTTGAACTGACAGACAGTAAGCTGATCAGAAAAACTAATTTTAAAAAATCTTATCTAAATAGATTTTTCTTACCATTACATGTTAGTGCATTTCTAACACAGCATAAACCCAAAGGAATCTGAGCAGCTGGAAGTGAACTTTTTGGGTAATATGGCCATTTCACACTGCTAACACTTCTGGTCAAGGCATCTTCTGAACAAACAAAATATTGGCATTAAAAGGTATTAAAATAATAATTCTGAAGACTTGTCTGTATAGCATTAACAAAACAATTGGAAGGAATCACATAATCACAGAATATGCTGAGTTGCAAGGGACCCACAAGGACCATCAAGTCCAATCCTTGGCCCCGCAGAGGACCATCCCCAAGAGTCACACCAGTGCCTGAGAGTATCGTCCAAAAGCTTCTTAACTCTGGCAGGCTTGGTGCTGTGACCACTTCCCTGGGGAGCCTGTTCAGTGCCCAATCACCCTCAGAATCTTCCTCCTGCCTTATTTTCAGATGATTAACAAGAAAATCTAAGCCTTTCTGGAAGAAGACTGTTGACTAGGATACTGTCATATACATCTGCTACCTATGGAACATCCCATTAGTTCTTTGTGTATCCAAGGACACCAGAGCTCCTAAAACAGGAAAGAAAGGTTATAGAAGTACCTCTGTAATAATATTTTAGCAAAAGAAGGATTTTTTGAGATTTATGGCTCTGAATCTTTAAGCAGTTAATCATAGTAAGGTGCTTTTCCTTCTTAACCATCAAGGAGTGGAGTCAAATGGGTTTTTCTGTGAGTATCAATTATAATCATACACTGGCTTTATTAGAATATATTCTCTGCATGAAGGGCTGGATTAGAAGTAAAGATTTGATTTCTATATGATCTACTTAATAATGAAATGGATTTTAAATATAATATTAAAAAAATTAAAATATGATAAAAGGAATCTGCTATTCCACTTTTATGAAGATGGATGATATGTTTATTTGTCTTGACCCAAATCTTCATTGGAATCTGTATCCATTTTCCATCCAGCAGATTTCATAGCTTTGATCCTCTGAAGACCTTTAAAAAATTTCATGAACTAATTAATATATTGAGGTGAAGAGCCCAGATTGATAACATTTTGTAACTGCACAGACAAAAAAAATATTTTCTATGTAGCTCACAGAAAAAGTCTGATTTCATTTCATTGTAAATCCATTGCCGTGCCATTGGCTTCAGAGCAGTTGCTCCTCCCAATTTACCACGGCACAAGACCCCCTGTATTTTATTTTCTTTTTCTGAAAGAAAACAAACCACAGATTTC